GAAATAACATATTATTTTTTTTTTTTCTAAAAATGATGAAATCCTGACTATTACACACTTATTTACAAGGATAATTAGCAAGAACCCCCTCATCTAGAAAAATGAATTAAGGAAACACCCCTCCCAAAAATAATAAGAGAAAACTCCCTTAGCTAATATTCTACCCATATGATATTTTCATAATTCTAAAACTACCCTTAATTGTCTATTATAATTTATAGTCTTTCAAAACCCTAATCTTATTTTTATTCTTTCATCCGCCGTTTTCACGGTCCATCGTTTCTCTTCTTCTCTCTTTTTCTCTTCTCTTCTTCTCTGTTTTTCTCTTCTTCTTTGTTTTTTTTCCTCTGTTTTCTTCGACAATCTTCCGCCACTGCCGCCGTCGTCGCCGGGAGATGGAGAAAGAAAGAAGAGAAAGCACCCATCAAACATTATACATGATTTTGATAGCGATTATGAATTCGAATGCCATGATTGCTACATCGGAGGCTATTAGAGATAAGATTGTCGATTTGTCGCCGGAATCGGATTTTGATGGGTGGTGGTTCTACTTTGGTTGGTGGTGCGAGTTGTGATTTTATTTATTTATTTGTAATAAAAAACCGTCATAATGTTAAAGTAAGGTGGTGATGGTGTGTTGTGGCGGCGGTGTGGTGAGGATGGGGAGGCAGATTTAGGGTTTATTGGTGGACCGGGCGGAGGACGGCGCCTTTAGAGAATTTTGCGCAGGCTGAAACCTTAATCGACTATGTACATGTTCATAGTCGATTAAGCTAATCGACTATACTCTGGCAGTCAATTAAGGTTGATCGACTCCAATTTTTTTTATTTTTTTAAAATTTTTTGTTTATTGATTCCAACTGTATAAATCATTTATAATATTTGTATATTTTTTGTTTTTGTAAAATATAGTTGATTTTGCATTTTTTTCGCAATTGTGATTTATTATGTTTAGTAGCAGATTCTTAATCGACTATGCTTCATCATAGTCGATTAATATACCTGATATAGAAAAACAAAATTAAAAACAAAAAAAAAATATTAAAAAATTAAAGATTTTCCTTAATCAACTACGCTTCATAGTCGATTAAGGCTAATCGACTATGTTTCGTAGTCGATTAAGGAAGTCGATTAAGGCTAATCGACTATGTTTCGTAGTCGATTAAGGAAACTGATACAGAAAAGAACGGGAGAAAAAAAAAATTCGCTCAGCGCGTGATCCAGTGATGATGTGGCGGGCGGGGGCAAAGTTGGAAAACATAATGACTCAAAATGGATGTGGGATTTCTCAAATGGACTGAAATAGTTTGAACCTCTCTTTATTAAAAAAAAATAATGAGAAGGTTTCCTCAAATAGCCCCTAATTACAATACTGCAAAATAATTTTTTTTTATTATATATATATATATATATATATATATATATATATATATATATATATATATATATATATATATATATATATAATATATATTCATATATTTGAGTAGTCCGTCCGTGTATGAATGGACATATGTATTATTGGGTGTATTTGTGGAGCGGGCCAATGGATGGTTTGTTTGGTTAGAATGAAAGCGGCCCAACAACAGAAATTATGTTAATAAAGGGTTAGGCTTGTTTCGGGGGTGATCTCTCTACTAGTAAAAGAGTAAACTTTGAATATTATTACTATTTTAATTTTGGTGTAGAATTAGCGGGTGTAACCATGGAAACGTGGACGAATATGAGATGAAGACAAAGCTGTCTGATTCTATGATTTATTTCCCTTTTCCTAAAACCTTGGAACATCATCATCAGCTGAGCTAAAATAAAATAAATCTTGGAATACAGATGAAGAATGGAGAGAGAGTGGAGGAGTTCACGGCAGGGTATTACGGTTTGTGTGCGGCGGCTGGAATGCTCAGCGCTGGTGCCACCCATCTCGCAATCACCCCTCTCGACGTCTTGAAGGTTAATATGCAGGTCACCACCACCTCTCAATTAATCTTCATTATTTCAGAGGAGTCAGATTATTATTATTATTCTAAATAATTATAATATGTGCACTGCAGGTGAATCCAGTGAAATATAAGGGGATCATGTCAGGGTTTAGTATCCTGTGCAGAGAAGAAGGGGCTCGTGGTGTTTGGAAGGGTTGGTCTAGCAAACTATTGGGATATGGTGTACAAGGTGGATGTAAATTTGGTCTTTATGAATATTTCAAGAACATTTATGGTGATTTATTGGCTGCTGACCGGAGGAGCAGCAATAAAAAGGGTTTGGTATTTTTCATGAGCAGTGCTTCTGCTCAAATATTTGCTGATGTTGCTCTTTGCCCCTTTGAAGCTGTCAAGGTTCGTGTTCAAACCGATTCCACTTTTGCCAAGGGCTTGTCTTCTGGTTTTCCCAAACTTTATGCCAATGAAGGCTTTTATGGGTATTTCATTCGCTCTCTCTCTTTCCTTCCTTCCTTTTACATATTCATTCATTCATTTGTATATCTCATTATTCAATTGCAGATTCTACAAAGGTCTTCTTCCGCTTTGGGGGCGTAACCTGCCATGTAAACTTCTTTACCGAAACGTGCTTGCTTTCTTGTTTATATTGAGATCATTTCTGATCTTAAATGATGTTTTAAAATTGGATTACCTATGAGAGAGACTCTGTTTAGTTTATAATGTTGAACTGAGTTCGTCCCATATAAGAGTGCCACTTCCTTCTTACATAATTAAATCTCTTTTTTTTAGGAATATCTGCCAATAAAGCCCTGTTTAACATAACTAGTACATGATAGTAGTACTACAACAATTAATTAATTTTTGGCTTCGTGTCATTGTTTCAAGCTGTCATCTTTAGTATCATATACTAAATTGGACGATTCTCCTCTTCCTCACTGTACGGCATACCTTATGTTTGGAAAAATCGAGCTTAGCAAGGATGGATTGATGGCACGATACAAGTGCTTAAAAACCTTTCTTTTCGGCTACTACCCACCAATAATTCCTATTGTAATTGGCTTTACTTTGAACTTGTTCCTATGTGGTAGATTGTTATTTTTATACTTGTATGTTTTTCTGCATCTATAGATTTATATTTGTATGCTAACTATAGACTGTTGTGGCAGTCTCGATGATTATGTTTACAACATTTGAGCATTCTGTGGAGGTGATGCATCGAAAAATAATAAAAAGAAAGAGGGAAGATTGCTCGAGAGCCCAACAACTGACGGTGACATGTTTAGCTGGGTATGCAGCTGGAGCTGTTGGTACTGTTATCTCTAATCCTGCAGACAATATTGTTTCATCCCTTTACAATAAAAAGGCTGCTACCATAATGCAGGTATATATATATATATATATATATATTGTGCCCGGGTTTTTAAGTTAGTTATTCACGTACGTAGTCAATTTCATGACCTGGTGGAGTTTCTTTTCTTGTCTTCTTCTCAGGCAGTAAAGAATATCGGAGTTAGGAATTTGTTCACTAGAAGCCTTCCTGTTCGAATTGCAATTGTGGGGCCTGTTGTTACTCTGCAGTGGTTTTTGTATGACAGCATCAAAGTGTTTAATGGACTGTAAGTGTTACTTAACTTTTTTCAAGCTAATTAAGTAGTAATTAACCATCATCTTAGGCCATCTTCCTGTTACGAGTACCAATTAAGTGTATCAGTTTATTGCTTAATTATAAAAGTTCATATGTATTATGGATTGTGCTGTGCAGGCCTGCTAGTGGAGGGCTGAGAAGGCATATTCTGAAAGATGCTGAATTAGTAACACCTTAGTCAATAATGTCAACCTAATAAAACAATTTGTTTTCATGGATATAGAAATATAATATTTTTTAGCAGAAACAAATTAAGATGGTGGAGTTTCGAGTTCTCGTTTAACAATTTTCAAAGGTTTGCTGGTAATGAAGAGATCGATCACCCACCGCCTTCTTTCGAGTTGATATGATCAAACTTGTTTCGGCAAATGCAACCAGTTTTTGTTTGCAGCTGTTGTTGTTGTGTGATTTGTGTAATGTGAATGAATGTAAATATACCCTGTGTTAAATTGCAGTTACAATAATTAGAAATTAGGATTGGTAGAATGGACTACTACTGAAGAAGCTATATTGTATCATATTTGTAGGTAGTAAGTAATAACCAAGTTATTGGTCTACCCACGTTTTCAGTTTTTGTTGACCTGGTCAACTTTGATTCTTCTTGTGCCTAACATTTTAATTTCACTAATCTTTTACTATTCTCCCTATTCAACTCAATTCTCAAATTTATTTTAATTTGGTTGATTTTTTCTATAGCAAATATGTTCCTTTTTTTAGTTAATTGAACGAAAATAATGTAATTTTGTTCTTGGACAAAGAAAGAATCTCTAATAAAACTAAACATTCTTACAAAATTATTTGGCTTAATTCCACTTTGCACCCTTGAAATATACCATTTTGGCACTTTGCACCCTCGAAAAATAATAATAGCACTTTGCACCCTCAAAACACAATAAATCATTCACAATGCACCCTCAATTGAATAATAAAGGCAATTTTATTTTTTCATTGGTGTTTTTCTTTTTGGGGTACAAAAAAAAATTGTTGTTTTCTTGAACCTCAAACCTAATTTCGAGCGGACAAAGTGCGGAAAAATAAAAATTACACCGGATTATTTAAAAAAAACTACATTATCTTACAAAAGAAAAATAAAAAAAATAATCTTTTATCACTAAATTATTCGATTGTAAATCTTTTATGTCACTGTTTGTAAAATATTAGGTGAAAATATTTGGAAGAAAAAATAATTTTCAGATAACTTGATAACGTAATAGATGAATGATTTTTTTCGTAAAATATTTTATTTTGATAAAACAATATAATTTTTAAATATGTTGATGGAATGTATTTTTATTTTTGAACTTTATAGTTTCAAAATGATTGATGAATAAAAAAAATATTTGACATTTGGCATCCTAAAAAAATATCACTACAAATATTAAATTTATATTTTTTAGCTTTAAAAAATCAGTTGGGGTGCATTATGCATGATTTATTGTATTTCGAGGGTGCAAAGTGCTATTAATTTATTTCGAGGGTGCAAAGTGCCAAAATCGTATATTTCAAGGGTGCAAAGTGGAATTAAGCCAAATTATTTTGGTCAAAATCAATCAACCAATCAGCTGTACATTGATTGGTATTTGGTATGATTTTTGTTTTTGTTTTGAATTAAAAAAGAAAAAGAAAAAGAAAAAATAAAAAAAAAGAAAAGGAGAAAGCAGATGGAAAGAGCTGGTCAGCACTCACCCGCCAATACAAATCCACCCTGTCTCATCTTTCTCGGCCATCCATCCCCCATTTCTTCTTACTACTATTTTATTTTTATTATTATATCATCATTATTAATTATTATATAATATTATATAGTTAGTTAATGGAAAAGAAAAGGAGTTCATTTATTTAAGCAATTTAAGGAAGAAGAGAGAGAAATGGATGATGAGCCCCTTTGCCTGAGGTGGTATTCCAGACTATCCGATCGCCTTCCTCAAACGTGATCCACACCACCACATATATATTTATAAACGCGTATTCCACGCACAGCTGACACACACATACTCGTATACGTGCGAGAAGACCTTTGACTCTGTCTCCTCTCCTGTTGTTTTTTTTTTCTTTTCCTGGTAATCTCAAGATCCGGTTTTCCCTTTTCTTCTTCTTTCTCTTAAAAGTACTGTTTCTCTTTTTTTTCCCTTTTTCAAATCTATATCTACATATGTATGATCGGTACGTACGCATCTCTTATCCCGTTTGTTAAACGAATGTATTCATGTTTATTTCTTATATTATTATTATTATTATTGTGTTTGATTTGCTACTGTAACCGAAACATCTCCACCCTGGGTCCGACCTGATTCCACAGTTTTGTTTTATTTTCTTTTCTTTTCTGAGCTGTTTATTCGTTAGCTGAGATTTGGAAGAAAAAAATGTTAATCTTTAGTCTTTATTTAATCCATCTTTTGAAATTTTGTTAATGATATATCAGTTTGAACTTTTATTCCTCCTTTCAGAACTCCGTTTGGATTGATGTGAACAATAACAATTAGACGCATATATTTATTTATTGAGGAGGTGAGAGTAGAAGAGAGAGAGAGAGAGAGAAGGGGAACTCAGGTTGTTTCATGGGCAATACATGCCGTGGATCATTCGGAGGCAAACCTTTTCAGGGCTACAACGAGCCCGAAGATAACTCCAGGCCGAAATCATCATCAGCTCGTTCAAATTCTTCAGACAGTTTGTCCCCCACCAGCTTGACCTCCCAACAACTTGTTGCTCAAGAATTCTCTAAAGACAAAAAGGACCCTAATCACATCAGTCCCAAGAAAGATAACATCATGAGCCGCGGCATCACTAACCAAGCTTACCTTGTGTTGGGTCACAAGACTGCTAATATCCTTGACTTTTATACCCTTGGCCATAAACTAGGACAGGGTCAATTCGGCACAACTTACTTGTGCACTGAGATCTCGACTGGGAGTGAGTATGCTTGTAAATCTATATCCAAGAGGAAGTTGATTTCCAAAGAGGACATTGAGGATGTGAGAAGGGAGATTCAGATAATGCACCATTTGGCCGGTCACAAGAATATAGTCACCATCAAGGGGGCTTATGAGGACTCTCAGTATGTTCACATTGTTATGGAACTTTGTGCTGGTGGTGAATTGTTCGACCGTATCATACAAAGAGGTCACTACAGTGAGCGTAAGGCAGCTGACCTCACTAAGATCATTGTTGGAGTTGTTGAGGCATGCCATTCTCTTGGTGTTATGCATAGAGATCTTAAACCTGAGAATTTCTTGTTGGTTAACAAGGACGATGATTTCTCTCTTAAAGCTATTGATTTTGGACTTTCCATTTTCTTTAAGCCAGGTATACTTACTTCCTCAACGTCTTTATTCTTTCTCTATTCACTTAGGATATGGTGTAAAATGTAAATACATGTTTGGGATGTTGTTTTTATAACTTTATACATGATTTGTTTTGTCAGGTCAGATATTCACGGATGTGGTCGGAAGCCCATATTACGTCGCACCTGAGGTTCTTCTGAAGCATTACGGACCAGAAGCAGATGTGTGGACAGCCGGTGTCATTCTCTATATATTGCTAAGTGGTGTGCCCCCCTTTTGGGCTGGTAAGTTTTTTTACTAGATAAGTTCAGATTCATTTCTTTGCGCCGTGAACTGAGATGATCTTGGGTAACTGTGCGTGCAGAAACTCAGCAAGGGATATTTGATGCTGTTTTAAAAGGGCACATTGATTTTGATTCTGACCCATGGCCGCTGATATCAGAAAGTGCTAAAGATCTTATTCGGAAGATGTTATGCATGCGACCTTCAGAGCGTTTGACTGCTCATGGAGTACTATGTATGTTCACTTTCTTACTATTTCTAGCTGCCAGTACTGTAGTACCTTTTGTTTTGGATTATTAAGATTTCTTTTGTGGGGCTTGACTAATTTAATCATTATTTTCTGGTAGATATCTTGAGTTTATATTTTTCATGTCCCTCTTGAGTTTATATATTCTTCAGTTACATCTTTTTTTCTGTGTGCTGATGATGTAACAGTCTAGATCTTGAATTTCAAAACCATACAGGTCATCCTTGGATATGCGAAAATGGTGTTGCACCTGACAGAGTCTTGGATACAGCTGTACTTTCTCGTCTTAAACAATTTTCTGCAATGAACAAGTTGAAGAAAATGGCATTACGGGTATGTGCTAAGCAAAAATGTTAGTTCTTCAGATGATTTCTGAATATTGAGTTTGTTGTCATGCGAGAAATATTATTTTTAACCAAGTATTATTTTTATCCATCAATTTACACATACATATAATATTCAGGAAATGATATTAAATTCTTCCTCCAGGTAATTGCTGAAAGCTTGTCAGAGGAGGAGATTGCCGGCCTAAAAGAAATGTTCAAGGCCATGGACACTGATAATAGTGGTGCAATCACATTTGATGAACTCAAAGCTGGTTTGAGAAAATATGGATCCACTTTAAAGGATATAGAAATTCGCGATCTTATGGATGCGGTATGTATGCAAACTTTTTCTCGATAGGATATTCTTGGCCTTTTATCTATACACATTGCACATGCAGTTGGTTAAAAAAAAACTCTAATCTTGTATCCATTGTTAAAAACTTCAAGTTCGTTTCAATATTCTTTTTTTTGTACGAGAAAATGATTAACTATAAGGAAGAGAACCTTTTAATCGATATTTACATCATGTTGCTAAAGTTCGCAGTCTATATAGAATACTGTTCCATCTTCAGTGATCTAGAAAATATAGTTGCGGTAGTGGCCCGTAACTAAATTAACAATTAAAATTCACATCTGCAGTGTTAGTTTCATCTCTGCACGTTTACTGAAAAATTCCTATCGATAATCAGATAAGATTCTTCCACATTTGTTGAATTCTTGTTATGTTTGCAGGCTGATGTAGACAACAGTGGGACCATTGACTATGGAGAGTTCATAGCAGCAACCATTCACTTGAATAAACTTGAACGTGAGGAACATCTTTGGGCAGCATTCCAATATTTTGACAAGGATGGAAGTGGTTATATTACAGTTGATGAACTTCAACAAGCTTGTGCCGAACACGGCATGACAGATGCTTTCCTTGAAGATATTATCAGAGAAGTTGATCAAGATAATGTAAGTCATTCTGCATATCGATGTGTCTTATTTAAGTTGACTTTGTATGTGGCTATATTTTTAGAAATAAGCATTTGGTTTAACCTTTAATCACAATCACCAACTTTTAATTTTTCCAAAAGATTTTGCAAAACATCATCTTAGAGTCGTAGATTCTATAATAACTTGAATATACTTTGGGCGCTGATGTGAACAAGCTTCTTCCAAACCATTATTCCAACAATATATATACAAATTAGGAGATTTTTTGCATCAAATATCAAATCATCTGATTGAAACAAATAGCATATTATTACACGAAAAATCATCTTATTCTTAATATATTCCAGTACAGCTCTACTTTGCTCACTTGAACAAATTCAAAAAGTTTGTTTTGTTGATATATGTTCAAATGACTTGCAATTTACAAGTTACAAGTAATCTTCAATGTAAATCATTGAAACTTTTATGTTATTTAGAGCTGGGAAAAAAAATGAGCTGCTACATCATCTTCTCATTTTTGTACTGTCGAGAAAATTTTGTGTTTGATTACTTCTGGATGGGAAGTAGATGGATAATATATTGCTGACTCGTTAAAAAAACATGTTATTTAGGATGGGAGGATTGATTATGGAGAATTTGTTGCTATGATGACAAAAGGCAATGCTGGCGTTGGAAGGCGAACAATGCGTAACAGCTTGAATATAAGCATGAGAGATGCTCCAGGGTCTCTTTAGATTTTCAATTTCAACGTGACAGGTAGTTACCAGCTTTCTGTTATAACAACTATACAAACATTCCCTTTGTTCTTCTTTTAACCATACAAAAAATTATTTGATCTCTCCTCAGTCAAAAATGGATTGTTGAACTTGAGTTTGATATTATCAGGTATACCTGGGATGCGACATCAAGCTCTTAAAACTGTATTGTATGCATGACAGATGGAAGAGCATGTTCTGCAAATAGTGGTATGCCTAAAATGTTGAGATCGACATTTGTTTCCCCGTTGACTCTGTCAAATTCAAAACAGAGGACAATAATTTACTTGTTGGAGTTGGTGTTGCTTTCTTTGTAACTAGAGTTGTGTGTAGTAAACTCCATCATGATGACAATGTGTTATTTGATACATATAAGTATGTTGTAATTTTTCTGTTTTGGAGAGTGAATAGTTGCAGCTGTGAATTGTGATGATGACTTTGGTTTACACTAACATTATTTTGTTATTCTTATTTGTTCTTCCATTCCAGGAGTTGTGCATATTAATTAAAAGAGAGCATATATCAATATCAAATATATTTCTATATATGTATCTGTATACATTTTGTTTTGTCCTTGTTAGATCTTCCAATCCAATCCAGTATCAGTCGAGTACACTTGAGAAAATAAAGCTAGGCTGCACCTGCATGCATGCATCTACACTCGGGTTGCAGTTTCTCTTGCTATTGCTATCTCCTGCAAGTACAGATATATACACGACCCTTTTTAGCAAGTAGCAAGTGGAGACTTTTCACTGCCCGCGTGTATTTTAAAATCGACAATGAAAGAGCACGTTTACCTTAAGGTCTCCTGTGCTTGAAAAGGTGCATTTAGAAGTGATAGCTCGTCCCTCGTCTAACAACCATCCCACCTCACACCAAGTTTCCATCTTGTCCTCGCTGCTTTTCTTCAATGAACACCAAAGTTGCTTGGGAAGTAATATAAGGCCGCCATCATCCTCATATCTGATTGACTTGCACTCGCATTCATCCCCAACTTGTTGGATCATCTTTCACCATCAACACAAACAAACAAACAAACAATTCCATTATGTATAAAAGAAATTAAGCAGTACCTAGTTATTATAGTTAGTGATGATGATATCATACATTGTTAGTTGAAGTATGAAAGGTGGCAACAGCAGTGAGGCCTTCCCAAACACCGGAAAGTTGTGAAGCTTTGAGGGGTTGAGTGGCTGCAAATGCAGAATCACGTATGGCACATCCCCCCAGCTGATCCCCATTCCTAAAGGGACCGTACCATTGCTCAACAAACACACTTATGCTCTTCATTTTCATCTCAGAAGATTGTTCCAATACTTGAATTATCCTAACACGCGACTCTTTGTCACTAGGATTGATCAAGCAGTGCTCCACCTCAATTGATTTTGAATTATTCAACTTATTAGTGGCAATGGAGGAGGGCCATAGTGCTACATAACATCCTGTAGATTGATATGCAAAGGCGGAATTGTGGGGTTGAGTGACACTCACACTCCTCTCATGGATGTTGTACCTGGTGGCGGCATCTGCTTCACATCCAACTGTGGGAAGGAGCTTAATGGTTTTGTAGATGAGAGATGATTGATTTTGATCCGCCAGAGTGGGGCACTGTGTTTGCCAATCGAATACCTTCACCTCCCATTCCCTATATGCCTCCGGGACCACCATTTCCGGCAGCTCTATCGGCTTCCCCTCCACCGTGAAATCAGCCCCAAATCCGTCCCATTCACCCGACACCTTCTCACCAAATTCTGCCCACCCTGCCTCTTTTTTTTTTTTTTTTTTTTCAGTTGATGAAATGAAATTAAAAATAATTAAATGCATAAATTAATGAATCGGTTGATTCCGATTAGAGAAATGATGAGTACCGGTGGAAGTAGATGTTGAAGCAAAATCGTCCATTCCGGTGGTGGTGACGGCGGCAGAGGCGTGCGGAGGAGCGGCGAAAATTGGGGAAGCAGCAGTGGTGGTGTCAGGAGAATTGAGGTTCTTATTGTAAAGAGGGAAAAAATGGAGGGAAGAATGAGTTTTGAAAAAGTTGGAGGAGAAGCGGTGAGGAAGATGGCGGCGCTGTTGGGAGTGGGAAGAAAGGATATTGGTATTGGTGGAGAAGGCGGCCATTGTTAGCAACAAATACTAGAATCTATGAGTGGTGCTTCTGCTAATTTGACTTTGGGATAAGACCATAAGAATAGAGATCCATTCCTTCCATCAAAAAAAAAAACATAGGGGTACAATTGATATTTCACTACCTGTCCTTTTAAGGAATTGTTTTTTCTTATTTGAAGTGGACAAAAGCTAAAGATGACGCTTTTGTAACCAAATTAGGCAGGACACACACACATGGATCTTAATAATTTAACCAAACATTAGGTAATTAATTTACCACTTTCCACAATGTCATAGGGGTGTCTTTACTCAAGAAATTTTTGCCCGTGCGGCCTGATTTGCCCACCAAATCAGTCAGCCTTACTCTCGATTCTCTTCGTACAAAACACACAAACACAAGTCTTTTAAGCCAACGTAAACGAGAACAAGAGTATGCAGCGGAACACAACACACAAGCACGTTTACGGGCAATGCCCAACCTTTATATTAATTTCTCACAAAGAATACAAAGAAGACTAGGGTGCACACACAAAATCCTCACTCAGAATGCCCACAATTGCAATCTGAACTCTCTTATGCTAGATGGGTCGGATTTGTGCACTCATAGCCATATAAGTACAAGGAAGAAGATAGTTTTCACATAAAACTACCTAATAACACTTGGCAGCATACATACTTGACACTTGGCTAACTATTACAAGTAATAATGGGCAGTTTTTCATGCTTTTCAGGCCTCAACCGCGCCGCAACTTCCATCAAAACCGCCCATATAGCTGGTTTTCGAGTCCCATCTTTATCGGGCGCGCGCGCGCGCCCCAAACGGCCCAAAACAACCCGGCCGGTTGCTAGGCAGCCCATCTGCCTTGCCTTTTCCGCCACATTTTGCTTGCCTTGCCAATCACTTGCTAGTTCTTTGCCCACACGGTCATTGGCACACCCGCACATCGGGCTGCCTTCCTTAACTTGCCAATCGGTCGTGCCAACTTGCCCACACTTGTCAAGTCGTGGTCGATTTCCTTCGAATGCTCGTTTGCCCAAGTTCTCGGCACATGCCGATTACTGCCCACGCTTATCCGCATTCGTTGCCGAGCAACGCCCGTGCCAACCACAAGTACTTTCGATCACCGTTCCCACTTGAATCAAGCCGTTCCTTGCTTTTTCGGACAAACACCCCAAATGCTTGCCCAACAATCGACCACTCATTGGCCGATTGTGTGGCTGCCTTGTGCCAACTCTTGCTTGGCACCATTTCTCGGCCATGACTCGGCCACACTCGAATCATAGCCGATTTCACCGACTAAGGGGGTAACACACAACCTAAACAAAATGAGGTTTTTATAAAACATGTTTGTTAACAGCTCAATTAAGCAAATAATTGGTATATCGAAAATTGGTAAATAGGTCCAAATCTAGTGTCTCATTGTGAATATAATAGAGGTCAAATAACTATATATAATTGTGACGTTGCCATTAGCCATGGGCCATGAGATGTAATATTAAATAGCATGGACATAATTCATTTCCACGTCACCCTCAATGCGGATGTCCTGTCCACATTCTCCATTTCTAATTTTTCAAACATTAATTATAATATATATTATAAATTGTTGAATATTAATTACTACCCAATACCAATTATGAAACATGTGCTGAAATACAATATTGCTCATTTTATGAAATACAAACTTTTGTTATTCCATACCATGTTACTATTTGATTGCATTAATATAAAATATCATCTATCAAAATATATATTTTATATATACTAATATATTTGCACACCGACCTCAATTACTATTTATTTAATTTGACCGACGTGTGTAGTGTTTTCAACCCGACGTCAGAGTAAAAAGGCCACGCAGTATCATTGCCGACACATTAAAAAAAACGTTTCATTTTACTGCTAAATCCAAAATAACTAATTATCAAAAAAAAAAAAAAAAATCCAAAAATAACTATTCCGCAGAATACAATACACAATTTTTTTACATAAATGAACCAAATTTACTAGTAGAAATGAATCAGCAAATCACAAATTATGAAATTAATGTACTTGTCCAGCAAATTGAAAATAATAAGCAACAACACCATTGTACAATTCCCTGTCGTGCAGTGTTTTTTTGTTACAAAAAGAATTAAGAAATTACAAACCGATTACTAAAAACAATTGAAACATTCATCATAAGATAAGAGTATCATACAAATTGATTCTATATGCATATTATATATATAATATATATATATCAAAAAATCACACGTACGCGCAAAGGCCTTGATCCATTATATCCTTGATCGATCTGCGTAATTCCATCTACTGCTCTGACGAAAGATCGATGATTTATTGGGGGACTAGAATAGAATGTAACTTTAACACGGATCGGAACGGAGGATCATGATTGGCTTTTTTATAATCGGCGGCGGGCATCAGGCCTGGTGGTGCCGTCGTCGAAGTTTTTGGAGTAGTTGAAGGAATCGTAGCGGAATGTCTGGGGGAGACCGACATTGTCGGAGCCGACAAGCTTGCGGCGGAGCTGGGAAGTGACCTTGTAAAAGACGTGGCGCCAGCTGCCCTTGCTGTGGGTACCTAGGACGGCTGTTTCTTCCTCATTCATCTCCAGATCTGTGGCGAATGTTGGTTTTCGAGACAGGATCCAGCCGCATCCCCATTCCCACCACTTCCTGATCGAACCGCCGGCCATTGATGATATAGACTTGGAGCGGCGGAATGCCCATGCGGCGGCGGGGGAAGAGGATGACTGGATCTTCAGGTTTAGTGAGAGAGACGAGAGCCTCCGGCGGATTCCAGGAGTAATAGTACTGCGCTCTTCTTTCGTTTGTGATTGTGAAAGCGGAAGCGATTGCTTTCGCTGCAGCTGGAACACGGAGCTCATTATCGATTATTATATATTCGAATAATATTAATTGAATTGATCGGAATGAATATCAAACTCTTGTTGTGCCGAAAACTAGATACCTAATTAATTGGCCGGATCGGAAGAGAGAGAGAGAGAGAAGGGAGAAGAATTGAGAGATCTAGAGAGAGAGAGAAGGGAATAATGGTTGAATGTCTCAATCATTAACAGAGGAGAGAAAATGAAACAAAAAGGAGGTGAGATGTAATGCTCACAGCTGCGTTACAGCCTGTTTTATTCCAGGTTACAACACAACCATATGCGCTGTTACCTCCAATTTCTACTTTTTTTTTTATCCTTAATTTATTCATCCTAATTTAATCAACTATACTATTCTAATTCTTTCTTCCCCCTATCTTAGGAAAATTAAACATGACAATAATAATTTTATTGATTTTTTTGTTAACTTTTCTAATAAATTGCTCTAAATATCAGCAACATTTCTCACCGAGTTTTTGGGTACCTGATTAAGTGCTTCAATTTGAATTATCCTAATTATTAATCATTGAATTTATCTGATCTTTCATTTGGCCTGACTTAAATACTATGTTAAATGACCATCGCTACTAAAAGTTTAAACTTTTAATGAAATGTACCATCTAATATTAATATTTACAACACAAACAACTAGATGTGAGCGGTGAAATGAGCAAGTGTCGACGCGTGAAAGTTTGGGTTGTACATATTGTTTGCCGACACCTCCTAAACCGTGTCAAACTTATGCAATTATTATTTTATTATTATACAATTCTACTCATTTTGTTAAGCCTATCTATGTTGGGTCGTCTTAACTGGGCATATTTTCAATGATTCAGATGTGGGCTAATGCCCAATACAAGGATCTATACGTAAGATTTTGAGCTCGATTAAAAAAATGATAAAATATGTAAAAAAAATTAAGCTAATCAAGCTCATTTCCTATTCAATTTGATTAAAATTTGTTTGAGTTCGACTCAAGTTCTTATTAAACCAAGCTCTAACACAATTTAAAAAACTCAATAAAAATTCAAACAAGTTTTGACAACAATGTGTGTTTGGTTCGACTCGAGTATGAATTTTCTTACATGTCCATCTTTGTGGGGGTAAATTCAATATAAATCTTCTAGATAATGTGAAATATTCTCTAATTTGTACTCGTTTTGTGCAAAAATACAGTTTCAGGTGCACTACAATCTGATATTTGCAAGCCTAGAGACGCATCTTATGATCACCTCTTTCAAAATGTAGAGTTCGAATGAGGTAAAACGAGTACAAATTGGATATATTTCATATATAATCTAGAAGACTCTACTAAATTTAGATACGCAAGGGTGGACATGTAAGAAAATCCATATTTGATGGGTGGTTGTAATTCCCAAATATGAAAGATTGTTTTCTCTTAATTTGACTTTACTTCAAGGGATAACCGTAATTTACTATTTTTTTTATTTTACTCATATCACTAATTTCTATTTATTTAAAAACAAAATCTTAGGGCATAATAATATTTGTTGAAAAATCTGCCCAATTGAATGGACCTATAAAAATGTCGAGAGTGACAATTTCCGGCGCAATAAAATTCAATAATGTTTTTAGGCCAAATTTGGTCGTCTCTCCTTTCACCGTTTTCAAACATTTGTGCGTGTCTATATCGCCTTCTAGGCGGAGAGCACAACATTACATTGAATAAGAATTAATGGAAACTTAGACAAATTACAAATTTATTCAAATACAACACAGCGATACATTCTTCATTTCTCTTTAAAATAGTAATGGCAGTAGAATATAAATAAATTGTACAAAAGAATAGACGACAAAGAAGAAATAAAAACATTATTATTATTATTCCCCTTTATTTACACGATTTGTATAATTTGAGTTCGTGTTTTAAAGTATGAGAGAGTAGTAAAACAGAAACAATGATCTCCCAGGATTTATATAGAGGGGATATCTTTGGTTGACCTGTTGTACTTCATATGGCTCTTGACAAGCTGGCCAGCTGCAATTGCTGACAGCAGAGACAGCTCTCCAGCCAGAACTGAACCAGCAACAATGCACGCCAACTGCCTTGCGTTCGATCCTGGAGCCTCCATACACGCTCCCTTCACTCCAAGCAGGTTCAAACATGCCGACTGCGAAGCCAATTGGGTCCCACCTCCAACTGTCCCAACCTCAATCGAAGGCATCGTCACTGACACGTGAAGATCCTTCCCATCATTAACAGCTTCCATCATTGTTATGCAGTGGGAACTCTCAATATTTTGTGCAGGATCTTGTCCCGTCGCTATGAACACTGCTGACACAATATTGCTAGCATGAGCATTGAACCCACCCAGAGCTCCTGCCATGGCCGAACCCGTCAGGTTCTTCAGCATGTTCAGCTCCACCAATGAAGCTACATCAGTCTTGAGCACCTTCTTCACAATCTCCTCCTTGATGATGGCCTCGCACACAACCGATTTTCCCCTCCCTTCAATCCAGTTCACTGCAGCAGGTTTCTTGTCCGAACAGTAGTTGCCAGAAATTCCGATAACGTCCATGTCAGGGAACTGGTTGTTGAGGAAGTCTATGACATTCTGGACACCTTTAGAGACCATGTTCATCCCCATGGCATCCCCTGTGCTGCAAGTGAACCTCATATACAGGTTCTTACCCGCGATGGCACACCTGATGCTCTGAAGCCTGCCGAATCGGCTGGAACTGTTGAATACAAGGGACAAGGCCTCGAAATTGAGAGGATTCTCAAGGAAGAACTTCAATTCTGCAGCCCTCTTTGCCGTGCCGAATCTGACAACAGGAGCCCTTGTCATTCCATCCTTGAGGAGGACGCTGGTGGCTCCTCCAGAGGCATAGATGGCCTTGCAACCTCTGTTTGTGCTTGCCACCAGGCAACCCTCCGTCGTGGCCATGGGAACCGAGTACTCCCTTCCATCCAACAATAGCGGTCCTGCAATCCCAACCGGTATCTGAACGTAACCCACGGGCATTTCACAACACTGTCCCAGTATGGCCTCGTAATTGAAGCCTTCCAGTGGCAATCCGGTGAGGGATTTGCCGGTGATACGCTGCAAGGCCTCACGGCGGATGACGGCGGCGCGGCGGCAATCTCCGAGCTTCGATTCTAGGGAATATGAGGGGGTCTTGCCCTCCACCACCGACTTGACTATCTCCTCGTCCTCCTCGGAGGAAAGGGGAATGGCATCATCATCAATGATTTTTTTGTTGAGTCTGGGGGATGAAAGAAGCTTACAATCGTCGGATTGAGCGGCGCAGGGGACGGCACGTGTATCCTCCTTGAGCATCAATCTGTCGTAATCGATAATTTCGTCTTCATCCATAAGATCTTCTTCATCGGAAGAGCGGGGAATAACGAGTGATTGGACAAATCCGATACCGAAGAAGCCGAGGAGATAGATGAAGGAGGCAACGAAGGTGACGATGGCGGCGATCTCAGAGAGGGTGACGACGTGGAGGGGGGTGGAGTTACGGATCTTCTCTCGCCATCGGAGGAGCAAATAATAAACGACGGAGAAGAAGAGAGTGAAGAAGACGGCATTGGTGAGGTATAGAGGGAGGGGGAGGGCGTCGGAGGCCTTGACGGAGTCGGAATCCTTGCGTTGGTCAACGGAGGCACCTTTCATCGATCGGCGGCGGGCTTCCATCCTGTCAATATCACTGGTGAAATTGATAATGAAAGAAAGGGGGATGGAGTGAGGGGGTGAACTGTAACTTGTATTCACCCTTTCCCGGCGGCGGATCGAGAAAAGGGGCGGTGTATGTATGAATGTATGTATGTATAGCTGATTAATAATATTAATTGGGAAATTTTGGAGGGGTGAAGGATAAGTGAGGAGGTATTAGTTATTATATAGAAGGAATAAATAATGTAAAATAATAAATGAGTTTGAATTATTTGGTTTGTACGTAGAAAATGAGATGCGTAGGCGGTTTCCTTTGAATTCCGGTTTTTGGCTCCACCCATGACTCCTAATTTTCATTTATTAATTAAAAAAAGTAAAAAGAAAACGTTTTTTCCCCCACTCCAATTTTGACTACTTTGCCACATCCAATTCCATTCTAATTTTATATTATATATTTGCTGCCAAAACGCCGTGTTCCAAAAAAACATGTCTCAGGTACAATTCCACTATTATAAATAATTCTATTAAAAAAGAAATTCAAAATGAAAGTGATTTCATTGGATTTAAGCAATGCATCTTCTGTATCAATTTTAATTTCCAATCAAATATAATTCAGTAATGGTGGGAACCAAACTTAAAATGTGATCATTTTTCTGTGGTGAGATTTGGACTGCCGTAATAATAAATAGGGAGATTTGTTAATGGAGCTGTCCGTTGCCGCTGATTTCAACGTGGAAAATATTATTGGTATTGAAATTATTGTTACAAAATTAACTTTATTGGACTAGAGAAATACTTGCAATAATTTATCTATTTGGAAATTAGTTTTTTGACTCTGGTTCATGGCGTTCACAGTATGCTTAATTAATTATTCACAGACCACAATACCTGACTTTTTTGGTTGTTAATATTTGGTCTCAGTTGGCCGGCGCCAGTTTTCTTCAATTTATTTATTTTTTATATGAAAATTATGATATACTCCCTACTTTCTAAAAAATATATTTGATTAGATGTAATTAATAATATTAAAATATCTGGTAAGCTATAACTGAGCTGAATAAACTTAACGGCGAATGAAGACCGCCATCATTAAAATTTCTTGTCTTTTGAACCCACACGACTTTATTTCTTTCCTCATCACGTGATGTTTACTCCTGAAACTTCTCTCATAACATCCACTTCATACTTTTAAGTTTTGATAATAAGGTAAAAACTTAAATGAACTTTAAAAAATATGTGTTTTCTTTTTTCATAAGAAAAATTGATTTTTACAAGAATCGTACAGAAAATTAACAAGTTAGAAAGAACATTTACAGCAAAACTATGCATCAATATAATCAAGAACAGAAAATCAAGTGCTGAAATAAATGTTTTCTACTCCAATGTAATTAAATAAAATAAAAAACATTTTGCCTTTAGATCCAGTGTACCTTGTATCGTATGATGCAAAAATGAGGGTTTGGTTAAAACTCAAAGTTATTTACTGTATATTGAACAAAACGTCACTTCATTACTATTGGACCTATACATGACCGAAATACGCTGCTTAGAAGTCGCTGCACTTCAAGTGAACAATGCTCACTTCGAACAAGATCTGTCAACAAAGGAAATAACTGCGACACATACTTTGTAAAACAATCAGTTTCTAGACTAGATAAGATCCTCATCACTGTTAGAACTAAAGGCGTGCGTGCTGCCAACTCCTCCTTCTTGGCTGAGCCTAATGGCAGAAAACAGTGTACCTCAGCCTTTTTTATGCATCCAAATCCACTACATTCAAGGTATCTCTGCAACACTATCTTACATACAGACACAAGCTCCGCTTCAACATTCTTCTCCTCCGGCAAAGATGGACTGTTCATGAGTAAATCGTGCAGAAAGTTCAAGTAGTTGTTGTAAGCCTCATTTTCAAAGTGAACCAGGGGTGGATCAGAAATCTCCAGGATAGTGCATATTTTATCCAACTTAACCAGTAATGTTGTTTGAGAGTTCAATTCATGGGAGTGAGATGAAATTGATGAATATATTTCAACAAGGATACCGACAATGTTTACAGATAAGAACTTCCAATGCATCTTGTAAAGATCACTCACCACCTGTGAGCAAGGAGAATGAATATAAGTCAGGATGAAATTTCTAGCAATATTCAAAATCAACCAATTTGAGACAAGTAAGATTATGTTTTTCGATCATAACTTCTACTATTGGTTACTGCTATGAATGATATGATAATACATGATTTTAGATGACATGGTCAATCAACACAATATCTAACAAGTAGCTGGTCCGTATTTAAGGATTCTCCTTTGTAGTTGGGAGATGGTCATTCAACACAAGATCCATGTTATGTCGTCAGTCCTTATAGTCATAGAAATTCTTAAAGAACTAAAACAAGAATAAAGATCGTCATCTTAGTCCTCCAAACATGTATATGAAGAAATCAAAGGTGTTGTGAAGTGGAATAGGCTGTGTTTAACATGTTGAGCTCGTCATACTGTGAATAACATAGTTATAGCAGAGTCTTTGCAACTGAGAACATGTCGGACAACTATAGATGTGTCGGCATAGTTAGTATTAATCATACAAATTATACACATACATATGAGAGAGAGAGAGAGAGAGAGAGAGAGGTAAGGAGAACCTGTATAATAAGTAGCTGAAGAGCTATATGTACTTTCATCCTTGAAATAATATAAGCGGCAGTTTGCAGGTTGTCATCCTCAGAACCATCTTTAATTACTCCACGGCCAGAAGAGGATTCTATTTCATCATTGGGACGAGTAACATCAGGTATCTCAATGGTGTCCATGGTTTTCAAAAGCTTTACAAAACCAGGCAAACTGGATCCAGCAGCTTCTCTCAAACATAGAAAGATATCTCGCCAATCATCTTCTGAAAGTTTACCTCTCAAATCAGCAGCCAAACGCATCAAAGCAGCCACCCCTGCACTCGAGGGACCTTGACCTTGACTTCTTATGAAACCCACCAATATGGATACCACTTGATGCAGTTGGGCCCTCACCAAATCAAAGAACTGGACAAACAAATCGATGAGACACTCCGCTGCCACTACAGACGACTCAGAGTCCCATATACTCCCACCATCAGGATGTAAGGGTCCAGAAACTGGGGAAAAGCAACCCTCCTCCTTATAAGCCTCTTTACTATCCAACGGGAAACCGAATATTGGAAAGATCTCACATTTGAAAATATTTGCCCAAAATGACTGGGTGAAAAGGTGACCGTGGTCCTTCAAAATATTAAAGAGAACTTCCAAAGCACTTTTTCTGATGGCTGCTCTAGGATCTGATGTCAATTTAGATAACCCTGAAATATTATTGAAAAATATGTTCAGACGCTAAACTGCACAAGTACTAATGAATTGAATTTGTTCCCCACCAAGGGAGTGAGGTGCAGATGGGAAAATGATGTCACTTATTCAAGAGAAACAAACAACCCATACAAATGTCCATATCTGGATATTTTTTATGGTCTGCATCTGTATTCAAGTCAAACAAACCCATGAGAATTTTATGGACACTGAGATTGTAGGAGTTATGCTGAAGATACAAACATCTAGATCAGATAAATACAAGAGTGTGCTCTAGCTCCACACTGATTTTAGTAATTCTCAGTTCAAATTCAATACCTGAGAGTAAAGGAACCCAGAAAGACATATTGTCATCCTTTTCTACACATGTTTCACCATCCAAAGCACTGTCCTTCACTATTGGAACGCATGAATCATCCCCCTTACTTTTATCATTGGAAGCAAGTCCACCATCTGCAAGTTTGACAGCACAGAACCGGAGAAAAGCAATAGCATTGAGGCTGACATCACTGTTGAATCTACTATTTGTGAATGTGATGAGGCATTTAACACAATCAGTAAAAGTCAACGCTTCTGTCTCAGTTATGTAGGGAAAATATTCTCTCACTATTTTTTCCATTGTTTCAAAAGCCAATAAAACTATGCTCTTCCTTTCATCAGCTGCAGCTGCTGTGAACACCTGCAAATGTAGAACAGTATATCTGATAGGCAAACTTTCAAGTATGAGGAGTATAACAGTGTAAAGTCTTCAGAAGAATGTTTTAAAGATTATGATCTGAAAAGAAGTTGCAATCTTAAAGAATTTTTTTAAACATTTACGACACTTATTCATTGGGCTGTCGCTACAATCCACACCTTCTAATACAATCAGCTATAATCACACAGAATTTCAAGATAAAGCCACACTGGAGGCTGACAAGTGACTAAAACAAAAACTTTTGTGGCATTCCAGTGGAGGTATTTGAAGAATAAAATATCAGCTGTGAGAAAAGACCAAGTTATAGAGTCAGCTGGTCCTGTTACAGTATAAAGAAAGCCAGAAGTATCCAAACTCCAACCATACCAACACCATATACAGTTAAAAACAACCCACACCATATTCCCACCACCACCATGTGCACAAAACAAAACTAAGTGAAGAACTTGAACTGTGGAGAAAAGAGTGACATAATTAAGTGCTCACTTGCATACAGAAAATGTGGACTCTACCGATCAGAAAATTAAGTAAAATCTATGTACATGTAAAGGAAACATTACCATGAAAACACTTTTCCATCCAGATTTTATGTTATTGACCCGGCTGAGGACCATTTGCGAGATACATCGAACTATTAACTCTTTGATCTCTGTCGAACAACTTTTTTGCATCACAACGGCAAATGGTCTCAAAAATTCATTTTGGAAGTTATAGTTTGCCAGTTCTTCTCGCTCCAGGAATTTCGAAGCGAGCTGCCGCAGCGAATCCATAACAAAGATTGCAACAGAGAGATTTTCTGACAGACCAACTGCCACAAAAAAATCTGACAGGACACTCCATATCCGAGACCATACAAGCCTTATGCGATTCATGTTGTAGTGCCTACAAAACAGAAGCATCAAATGGTTTTTTGAACTCCAATCTCGAATTTCTCGAGCATATTAGTAAAGACTGAAGCATCACTTCAAAATCAGGAAAGAATCTTACGCAACTTCCACGATTTTGGTGAGGCTAAACACACGTGGATCGGTTGGAGACTGCAGTTCCGACATTGAGACTTTGCAGAGGGCCTTTACAAAAGCTACTATAGCCTCACTGTTTAACCTCTGGCTATGAGCAAAAATGTGGTTTAATTCAAAATTTCCTATTTGATCAAGCAAATACAAGTTTGAAATGAAGTTATTGATCTGCTCTGAAGAAACAAGACCGGGGGATTTTACTCCGGCAGAGGTGCTATCATAAGAGCCACCTCGAACAACTGCCATTACAGCTGGATTCTGGAGTGTTCCTTTCTTCTTCAACGACGGATAATTCGCATTATTTTTTGTTCTCTCTTCAGATTCAGAATTACTTGTATTAAGAAAGGATGCATCAGAAGGTGCTCCCTCTCCCAAGAGCTGCAGATGCTCAAATCGGGATAAGCATGTCAAAATATGTTCCCATGCTTCCTGGAGGTTATTTCCATCTTCGATAGCAATTGATATGATAGCCTGCCAAAACAACAGAGTTTTCTGCTGTCACTTCTATAGCAAGGGGAAACAGCATTATTTTTCAAAGTAAAATGATGAACTCATACAAGCAAGCACTAACTGCACAAAATTTCTTGAGCATACATGAGACACTAATCATCAATAGTTTAACCCCAAGGGTGAAATGGACAAATACCTTGACAGCATCTACATTTTTCTGCTTCATATCTGCAGCACAATGGAGGTAGGTAAACTTAGCCACAGTGGTAACGAAAGCATCTCTCTGGGTCTGCATACCCATCATAGAAGTAACATGCACAGCATGTCGAATTCCCTGCAAACACTGAGAAGTAGCTTCCTTGTCATCACTCTGGTCCAGAGTAACACTAAATGCAGCAAGCATTGGGCCCCAGCAAACTTCAACCATGAACCTCAATATTGTAGGATCTAGTACAGCATAGTAAACAATCCTGCATCCGGAAAAAAAAAAAAAAAAGATTGAAAGCATATGCGTAGTGGGTGGCATACCAGAAAACTAACAGAAAAAGAAACAAGCATCATAACCTAGCAAAATTATCATGCTTAGAGGATATTATCCCTCTCAAACTGCATGTATAACCACTTTCCACTGATAGACATCCATATAGGCATTTCAATTTCATATTCCAGGTAGGTCCTAACTAGTCTACAATAAACAGAGGAAGGATCATCCTGCTCAAACTACCGCTCTCCACTGACAAACACTGACAGAGGTATTTTCTTATTCCAGGTCTAAGGTTCTAATTAGTCTAAGCAAAAATAATCAAATAGAGGCAAAAAGAAAGTGAGCCTATTATGTGGAAGCATGATCTTACTCTGATTTGGAAGATTTTGCTTTAAACTGCTCTTGGATATGCTTTAGTAAATTTCTGTTTGCACTCAATGGTTTTTCTTCTGTCTGCTTCCATACCAGATTGAGAATGCCATCCAAGCCCAGCAGCTTATTCAGGCTGTTTCCTTGTTTGCTTTGGGGAACAGAAGACTCAGCTTTCATCTTAATCTCATTTTTCACGATTTGATCGTACAGCGCCCCCAAATAATCTTCAGGTAGATCTTTGCCATCATCAATCCCTCGGTTATTCCGGATGAAATCAGCTTTGGTCATCTTAACAAGCCAAATTCAATCTCAATAGTCAGAAATAAGATCGTACTTAATGCGGCGGTAATAAACTAATATCTATGGATAAAGGATAAACCAATCCAGTATGAGCATAACATTGAACAGTTTTAAGTTCCAAATGTTCCCAACTTCCAACGAAACCAGTTAAAAACTAGAATGTATGAGATCCACCTTATTATTTGGTATAGGATCCCAATATATGGATACTTGAACACTGTCGGATATCATAAATCTTGCTGCCCTTTCTATTTTTAAGGTTGAACCAATGTCAAATGTAATTGGAGTTTTCAAAATTTTAGACGCACAGAAGACTACTGACTTCATAACTTTGTCATTATATTAGTGAATCACTCAATGTATTGTATTGCAGAACGAAGAAGTTGAAAAACTACTAAATCCTAAATAATCAATTGAACTTTATGCCCTCGGATTGATTTTAGTTTAAATGTCAAGAAAGCTAATGGCGTGCAGGATTGTCATTGATTAAAAAGGGCATAAGATAAGGGTGAACTACCACAAGGGGGAGATTTACCGTTACTAAAGGCTAAAGCTGCATAATGACTCAGCTTTGGTTGGCCTTTATTTGGTTTATAGTCCATGGTTTTAGGAGATAAAATTGGCTTGGAGTTGAAATGCGGAGAAGAATCATACCCAAGATACAGTTCTAGAAAGTTTATTTCGAAACAAAAGGATTTAAGATTTAGTCGAATAAGACTGAATACATTGAGTGTAATTCTAATATAATTTGGACTACATGCGTAGGAATAGCGGAAATCAAGAAATATATTCAATGTCTATGGTTAAGAACCACTTTTTATATTATCTTGCTATTTAACACCAACTAAAGAAAAAAAAAAGGAGATATCAGTACAACTGTTATAAACCTATCATTTTTGTCGTATAAGGCTGATCTGTTGCATAGTCAATCAGTTATATAGGAAACTAGGACGAGAATAGCAACATATACGCGGCTATTAAAACTAGCCAAAATAAGGATGAAGGCATTTGATTTAAAAAATATTAATCCCAAATTACATTGTATGAAATTTAACCCTTGGAGATTGCACTGGGACACAGTGAAAAGGGATATATAATCCATGTAACCTAGGTTTTATTGAATTTATATGAGTAAATTGATGAGAAAATCTCATGCACACTTGTTTGAGGAACTTCAATCTTTCAAAAAAGCCAGAGTTGCATGAGATACAAATAAGGAAAGATTCTCTGGAAGAGTTTAAGATATCAACAGTTTATAAACTGATGAAGATGATAATTTATGCAAAACCTTTTGAAGTTAAACTTAAAGGAAAGCAGGGTATTAGTGACGCTTTCACCCTCAATATTTATAAAATTTACTTTTAACTGCGTAAGAAACTAACAATATCGAGTTGTTGGCATAACGGGAAATACTTAAATTAATCTCAGATTTTTTATTAGGCAGCACGACATATGGACTATCAAGTAAAGGAAGTGGAGTAAAACTAATTTGATACTTTAAGGAATAATTGCAGAACAGAAGAGAAAACTCAAAATTTTAGAGCAAAGTATCTGAAACACACCTTATCCTTTACCATACTATTATGGGCATCAGTATTGAGCATTATGACCGAGTAAGCAAGCACGTAGGCCGTATCTGCACTTGTGAATGAGTTCGGATTGCATTTACAATAGCGTTCAGCAAATTTTTCCATGATGCGGTCAATCTTTTGTGCTTCTCCAGGTAACCTAAATCCTCTTAGAAAGAATCTGATTGCATCACCAAAGCCCATGTTTTCAAAGTTGAAGGAATCTACATATGCATGCATAACTTTTATAGAAAACTCCTCTCTTTCACCAAAATAATCGCCAATCATACTTTCATTCAGGCCAGAAGCACTTTTGAGAAAAGAAGCCACTTCTTCAGGAGAGCTGCCAATTTTTTTGGTGCTTATTAAGAACTCGATCCCCTTCGAAGGTTTTCTATTGAACAGTGCAACACCTTTCTGCATTGATCCCATTGACAAAAATATTAGAGTAAACCATGACATTCTAATATTAATACCTAAATGAAAAACCACAAAATTGTAGTATTAGTAATTAATACACATAAAACCATTTTATGACACTCAGCACGCTAAATCGCCAGTCAATAAAAACTTATTCTGCAAAAGAATTCATGAGGATATAGATGAATTCGCTTGGAAGTATAATTGATAAGCAAACCTGAATTTCTATCTTATAAGCTCTACGCTGCTCCAATGTTGCAGCATTGCTAAATTCAGAATTTGATTCTGGGTGCAGCTCATAATCAGCACTGTTTGCATCTTCGAGGTAAGTGTGATTCTCAGTCAAATTTTCACTATCAAAAGATTTTGGTGGGTTAAGTTCTCCAACTTTCAGCTGCTGGTCCATCCATGATCCCATTGACTTGATAATTCTAACCAGGCATTTTACTGATTCGTGACGAAACGTCATATCTTGGCCAGGAGACAAAGAAGTAACTGAGCCAGGTGGTGGACCTAGAGCAGTTTTCAGAAGCCCATTGACAGTCCTGCAATTATCATAAGAAATTAATGGGGTTGGCACTCATATTTACTACAACATTAAGCTGCTAGAACAACAGAAAAACAACTAAACAAAAACTGGTGCAGCTAAATCTACATAGGATGGGAAGATAAATAATTTCAGGACAAAGGAAAAGCAAAAGGAAAATCTAAACCTAATCTTCTGTACCTTTCAAATATGTTTGGAGCGTCCACATCACAGTCATAGTTGACAAAAGCATCAACAATAACCTGTGAATCCTGAGAGATTTTATCCAGTAAACTCAAAACAGTCATCTTCTGTAGGAAACTAGGTTGAAGGACATTCTCCAGTACACGAAGAATCAGCATGGGAAAAAAAACTCCAATCTCTGATTTCAACCCAGACCTAAATTTCGATAGTAGGTTCCAAAATATTGAACAAAGAAGTTGAAAAACAGTCATAACAGACAGTGCACTGTTCTTCAACAGTGACATGCATAGATATTGCTGACCGCATAAGAAACCTGTTAAGAAAAGAACATATTAGCTATCTCTACAAAACATCATGCTCCTCGTTTACAGGAAAGAAAAATCATATTCAATATTTCCTGAGAACGATTTAAGAAATTAAGATTATCCGTCTCAAAGTGCATATTACAGTCCAGCTGCATCATTATATGTTATCTCG